CCAGTTACCAACTTTTTTTTTTTCAAAGCAGAAGAGTGAGGAAGACTAGCTTATAAAACAGATAAGCCACCCTATGACAGACAACATAGCTATATGACGGCAAATCAAGAACATCATGGCTATTTTGAACCAGTTGCAGCTTCTTCCCCCCCCGCCCCGGCCCTTCAGAAGCTCTTTCTAACTTACAGAAAAAAGGACAACATCACATCTAACAAAAGGAAAGCATTCACTTGTCTGTAGTCATGATTCTCAGTATCTGGTTGCTTATTTGTAATTACCAACGTATCCAAGATTTTAAGTCCCTGCTGTCAAGATTTGAAGCCCTGCTGTCCTTGAATGTATTGTACTTTATCTCCCATTTTTCATTACTTGACAATGCCCAAGCTAAACAGAACTTTGCCTCAACACTGTTTATGTTGAATGCTTTTTTTTTTTTTCTCAGTATGATCTACTTAATCATGGATATAATAAAAAAACAAGATAGGCTTGCTACCAACAAAGAACTCATGTCTATTTCAGATTACTAGGTTTTTTTTTTAAAGAAAGAAGCCTTTATTACTATTTCGCTCTTAGAAGATGAGTGAAACTCCTGATTCTTTCAAATACTTCAAGGTTCTACATAAAATTTATATTATTCTGTGATTTGAAATGGCATCAAATTGACCCAGTAAGATATTAATTCAAAGCCAATAAAACCAAAGCCTTGCTTGTAATTTGATTTTAGCATGTCTGATTCAGATAAAATTAAGGGACTTGCACAGGCTAATTAAAAAACTGTAAAAGGAAGCACGGACATTTGAGAAATTATGATTTTGGAAGCAACCACAAATCTGGCACTATGTAGACATTTTCAGTTGATATTTGTGACATTTAAATAAGGCTCAGAGTTGGTTTGGAATTTTTGGATTTTTTTCTTAAAGAAATATTCTTGGAGTCAGGCATTTTGGGAAAAATTATCTCTACTGTTTAAAAACAGTCTTCTATGTAATATAACTGAAATATTGCACACAGCAATTAAATATCCTCCACATTCTCCTCTGATAAGGTCATTTAACTTGTAGGTCATTTGGAATTATATATATAGTCAGTACAATTGATCTTTATCTCCCATTTTTTATTACTAGACAAAGCCTGAGCTAAACAGAACTTTGCCTAAACACCGTTTGTTTTTTTTTTTCTCAATGTGTTCTTCTTAATAATGGATATAATTAAAAAAACAATATAGACTTGCTACTAACACAGAGTTCATGTCTACTTCAGATTACAAACTTTTTTTTTCCCTGTGAGTACCATCATAATTTAGGAAAAATACGAGGTATTGTTATATGATCAAAGGGCTCCATTTCACATTGCTGATGTGAGACCGTTATCTTAGTAAACCTGAAATTATAGTAAAGTGCTGGGACGTGGGTCCACCTTTTCAAAGCACACATAATGTGAGAGCTTTTCAGTTCAACCGCTGTATTTCACCAGAGATAAACAATGAAGTACTCTCTTGTTAGCTGCTTTAATAAGTTGGTTTGGTTGTTTGTATGTTTGGTTTTGTTTTTTTAGATAAAAGAAACTATATCGATGTGATGAGAAGAGACCAAGAGAGCGCATAAGCTGGAATTCTTGCAAACACCACATAAAAAGAGTTAATCCAACCATCATCCTGATGCTTGGACAGGCTGGACTATGACAATACACAGGGGACAATTACCATGGCTCAGCTGATACGCTGTAATTCACTAAGGTGCAATAATGCAATTTCTTTCAAATATGTGCACTGAACAGGAGCGTCAGGATTAGGTCACTGAGGTTACAGAAACCCTGCCTTTCTTGGGGATGCACTAGTATCTTTTTTCTTTATGTTTATTCTTTGTTATGCAGTATTCATCTTTATAGGGAAGTGTATTCTCGAAGTAACTCATAGATCATAAGTCCAATCCTTCTTTCTAATTCAATGGCGAAACTCCCTCCGAAATCAACAGTGAAATAACTGAACCCTAGATAAAAACACTTGGTCATTCATCCGTAACTGAACTACATCTGGGCTGAAACACAGCAGCTATTTTGCAGTTAACTTACTATTGCAGACTGATCTATGGATGGAAATGTACAACTGAAAGCACAAGGGAATTTTAGGTAGATGGAAAATAATCATACTGACTAAAATCTGGCAAACTCCCCAGAGGTAATGCCTTTATTCATACGAAAAATGCACAAGATGATTGTTTACAATTGTTCAGGATCTCAATTATGTATGCCATCCAAAAGACATGTCCAACCGCTGACAGTGCTCTAATCTCATGCTACTGAATAAATAATGCTCCTATATGCTTTTTTCACTATTTAAGTGAACAGGGAACTATAAATACAAGGGCTGCATGGTTGGAGTTTTGTGACCGAGACTCAGGTTGTAAACTGTGATAAGATCCCACACACTTGTAGCACAGGTTTAGATACGCCTGCATTTCAAGATTTAAGGATGAGCCTGTAAATCAGAACCAAGGACTTGGAAATTACAGACAATCCCCGTTCTCATTGTTTCAAGCTGTCAAGTATTTGAGATCAATACTTTGACTTTGGCTCCTCATTTGTCAGTAACAGATCAATACAAAGGCATACCGTCTATTTCCATAAATCTTATTGCTTAACTGTACCAAAACCACACCGGAATTCTCTAGCAGTACTTTTACTGCATCTGTATTACTCTGCTGCCAAATGCATGCTAGATTTCTTTTTGGATTACTGAAGAAGAAGAAGAAAACTTTTTTTACCTAAAAGGCTGAAACCAGTATCAATGTTTGCTTTTAATCTCAGTGGGGTGAGAAGAGGCAGGAAGCCTAACATTGTCATGTTAGATTTGCCAGTAGCAAGACATTCAGTTCATCAAAACAGAATTTTTACTTATACCAGAAATCAACTATGTTATTATGGTAGTGCTCAAAACTCAGGAACTGTCTTTTTACAGTCTAAAATTAAAGATGCTTCTTTTAAAACTCTAGTCAACAACTTCAAAATCAGTGTAATTCTGATGTTTTCTCAAATGAGTTCAGATTTTACCAAGCGATAAATTGGATACTCAAATTAACAACTGAAGCAGTTAAACCTGGATTATTTCATTCATTGTTTGCGTTTAACTGGGCAGAAGCTACTGTTTCATAGGTCATTACTTAACATAAATACCTCTCTCCCAGCAATGGCAAATTATTATCTTCCACCCAGTACTTCATTAACTTTTCTTTTTGTTGGATGAATGCACTTATGTTACTAATAGCAGTCAACTGTCATGTGAGATGAAGTAAAACATATCTGGAAAAATTTTACTTTATTTATCAAATGTCAGATTGCTAGGATTACTTTTTTCTTATGCACGTGAGAGGAACATAAACATTAACATATTTAAGTATTACAGTATTTACAGACTAATTCAGATCATTATTTCCACAATACAAGCAATGCACTTATTTTCACATAGCTGGAATACGGTAGAACTTTTCTAAATGTTAGAAAGTATTTCCAATTCCACAATGGATCAGCCATTCTTTAATAAATTGCTACTAACTGCCCAAATTATTAGAATTAGTTTTTTGCTGGCTTATATTTTATAACCTTGTCATGTTCCAATCAAATAATCCATGACATAATATATCAAACATAACACAATAGCACTGACAGTTTTGTATTTAAAATCAGTGATAACTAAATCAAGTGAATACTCCTTTTTTAATGTTAAATGAAAAATCTGTTGTGTTTTACTTCTGAATCACAAGCTACTACTGTATATTTATAAACTCTAGCAGAAGTCGTAAGAATAACCATAATAAAAATAACCTTCCCATCAAATAACGGGTAATTTTATATATGGGGTTTTTTTACAGAAATCTTTTGTATTACACTGTTCTGTAACTTAAATAAAAGCCAGACAAACATAAAATGTTTGTAATGAGCCGGTTCTCTGAAGTCAAACTTAAAATATTCCTATATGCTATGTTGTTACTCAGGACTTCATATTGCATTTCCAAACACAAAAATCTGAACAGATAATTCTGACCTCATGAAATGCTCAGAAGTTCAAAGTTGAGTATATTTTGCAGATTAAATTCCATATCCTTAGGAGACTCTCTATTCACCAAATATATTCATTAACATGACATGCAAATGTTTAAAAGTTAGATGGGCCATTATTAGCACACTGGAATACGTAAGCAATATATGAATTAATTGTTTAATCATACTGAGTTGCCTGTGGCACCAAGAAAAAGAAAAGCTAAATGTCAGTATTTCAAACTGTCAGTTGAAATGAGTCCCAGATGTTAAAACATTAAGCAACCTAAAAATCAATTAACTTCGTTTTAAACAAAATCTTTTCCAAGGCAAGCTTTAATCTAGTGACTCAATCTTCCCCTTCCCCTCCCTGGCACAACTGAACATGGAAATCGCCCCTATTTAATATGTGCAGTGACTGAACTAAGCAAACAATATGTAGAACTGTTGTAATGTAAAGATTTATGTCTTCGGCCATTAGAACTCACAGGTTTTGATTAAGATTTTAATAGTTTTAAAGGCAATACCAAAGAATACCTATCAAGTAAAAATGTTATGTTTTTCTTTAAGAAAACAAGTGCCATTTGTCATTCTGCAGAATTCTAAAATGGAAGAAAGCTTAAGTTGTTATTATTTTGCATAAAACCAATGAAAAATAGTTAAATTTATACAGGAACTTAAGTTAATACAGCCTGCCTACTTTCTAAAAACACAAGGGGTAGTGCTAAATACAAACAGGACTTTTTTTACAAATTTTTTGAAACTTAATTTAAGAATGAGCAAATTTACATTATAAATATCCGCCATTGTTTCAGTACAACAACTGATTACAACAGTTGCCTTTGTTTTCAGTGAACAAATTCTACAGAGTATAGAAAGGCTTAGCCCCAGGAAATGTCAAGAAATATCAGAGGAGAGAATTAACTGCTAAGGGACATTCACATTTCAAAAGGGAAAGAATTACATACCCCTCTCCACCAATTCTTGTTATCTTTAGACGAAAGTCAACAGAGTTCAGACTGGGTGGCTTCCATTTCAAAATATCATCACATCGACCAGGCTTGTATTTCTGAAGAAAATTAAAAAGCAGTTTAATTATGCTTATTGGTTTTCACTAGTTTTAAAAGTAACAATTCAGCCTTTCAGACTATATTAGCTGTCTCTAATGAATTACAATACTTAGTGACCGAAACAATGAATTCCATTACCACGGAGGTAGTTGTGCTTCACTACTTTATTTGCTGCTCCCTTTTAAAACTGCTTAGCACTGTAGCCAAGCCATTGCATATAATAAAAAAGCTGAGAATGGAAATAAAAATTAGCATACTTCATTATCTCTCCCTAGCTAAAGGGAAACCTCAAGAAAGAAAATAAGACAGCACAGTAACAAATGAAAACACTGATAGGACATACATAAAAGATACATTTAAGATAATCTCAACATTTTTGAACAATATTATGAATTATATTTTTGTTACCCGTGCTGTTGGCTGACACAACATGAAAAAGCCAGCAGTCACCATACTGCCAACTATCAGAAAGGCCCACGTTCTTTAGTACCAATGGAATTTAAGTTATGTAAAGATTGAAGTACATCATGACATACAGGAACATAAATAAAGGAATATCTGTTGCGTAAGAGAAAGGGTACACACTTGAACCAAACGTTGCAAGCAGCAATTTTCTGTTAAATTAGAGCTTTGGTTTCTTGGTCTCTTCTATCATCCACTTTGTTTTACTAAGATGCTGTTTTGTTCATCCTCAGGTAATAGCAAGAGCCACCCTGCTAACCCTTTCCGCACTAGAAAACCTTTCATGGCAATGGAGAAAATCAGAATTCACGTGAATAGGGCAAAAGTAAAAGAGTAATTTGCAGATGCACAAAATGAGATTTTTTAATTGTTAAATACTTACTAACCCACAATGAGAAAATTAATGCAATTTTCCCTAAAAAAAAACCCACCCAAGAATGTCCAGTGACTTTAGGTAACAGAGGGATCACTAGCATCACATTGCACCCATGCTGTGTTAAATATTTGCAAAATGCAAAATTTACTTACGATAAACTAAACAATTCCAGATCTAAAGTGAAAAAAGCAGATGAAGAATTTTCTGTTTTCTGATCTAAGAATGGAAAGTTATTCTTTCCAAAATAAATGCAGCTTATCATGCAGCTTATCTTACTTATCATTTCTTGATGAAAATATTAAAAGGTATTGTTTAAGCAATTTAAGAAAAAAAGAAAATGTTTCAGCAATAAAGAAATATTCCTTTAGTTACCACCATCCTGCTATTCCCTCCCTCATTTCTCTGGCTCTTTTCCATTCACCAGAAATATCTTAAAATTCCAACAATCTCATCTTCAAATTCTTAGAGTAATGAAATTTATCTTGCTCCTTGGTTATTTCCTCTACTTTCCCAAACTAAAAATCTGCTATCATGCAGTATGGTGTTAAAAACACTTAAGGACTTTTGCCATACATACTGACTGATATTAAATAGATAAAACAGAATATACAAAAGATGATGATCAGGTAAGCATTTAAACTTTTCAGATCATCATTTTTGTATGTATTTTTGTTAATATACAGATTATGTAATTAAATATGTTTTGAAGTATTTACATTCACTTTTACAGGAAGCATTTATTATTTTAGTATATATTTGATTGGTTGTGTGCATTGAACATGAGAATTATGTAAAGATAGACGACACTGACATTTCTTTCTCAGTTAACTTTTCTCGCCAGTTTCTTGTACTTATACCTGATAGAGAGAAAATACGGAATTAAATTCTACATAACTTTTATTACTAAAATATGCCCCGGGAATAATAGGACAAAATGCAGTGTTCGCAAAGACATTATTTGTTGCTCTGTCTCATCTGCAGTTTCTAATTTGGCCAAAGGCAATTACTACTACTAGGTATTTACTACTTAGTTCAAAGAAGAACTACTGTGAACACTTCCATATGTGACAAATTTCTCCATAGACAGTGAGAATTTAATTTATGAACCAACTGCTACAGCAGGTATGAAGGAACACACGGTAGAGCTGAGTAGCTGAATTTGTTGGAGCAGGTGTGGATTTTGCTGTGTGGAACAGATGATTCATCTTAATGGTTGCTCTTTGGTCTTTTAGCATGACTGAGGGCTTCAAACATTCCATAAAAGTGACATTTTCCAATCATACATAAACCCTAAAATCTTGTATTAAGCCTCTGTGTAACATGGCGTCTAATTTATTGACTTGCAATAATCTTCCAAGCAAGATTACTGAGAGTGTTTACAATGATGGATTTATGAATATATACTCAAGTAATCAATTTCTTTTTAAGCAGTAGGTCATATTTTTGAGACCTTATGAGCTATTATGACTAGTCAGTCTAACTGACTTTAGAAAACAATCTCTGCTTGTTTAATATATGGTTCCAAACCATACTTCTACATATTATTACTTTAAAGAGGAGATAAAGAGAAGCTAAGAGTCTTCGAGACAGAGGAAATTGTCTCTTTCGTACAGAAATACCAGTCTCAATCAAAAAACACCCCCTATTTTGTGTGCAAAAGGTAGATTTGTACTGCTTATGCATTCACAAGTACTAAGTATCTCCTCGCAACCATAAACAGGAGCCTTACTTTCTGGAGAAATGGATAACAGGATTGAAACATAGCCTGTTTTGAAAACTAAACCCAAAAATTTCTTCTGAACAATGTCAGAAAATTCGAAGGCCTTTAAGAGAGGACCAAAGGCTTCGTTCAGGATTGCAGACTCTATCCTTTTTCTATTTACTTCTGCCTGGAACATAAACCCTGGAAACGCTAGACGGTCCTTTAGGAAATGAATTCTTATTGACATGAAGAGAATGAACCAACCTCTCTGAGTCACAGCACTGAAATCCAGAGGAAGAGCTGCATCCAAACTATGTAACAACCTAAGAACGGCCTCACTAGAGCTCTAGTGTCCTGGCTCTCACAATGGCCAAAAGCCTGTGCTTAGGGAAGGTGAAAAACAGGGCAATCATATATGGTAGTTTCTACTACTGCTCTCTCAGAGACTACCCATTTCCAAGCTCGGAGACTTCCTGACGTGGATATGATTCAAATGTGATTCCTACATATTTAGTGATTTTCAGTTTTCCCTGCATGAGCTCCTCTAGTTCCTCAGTAAGACCCTGTAAACCTCCACCAGCTGCAGCAGCCCGCAGCCCAGTGTTTCACACACAGCCCGACTACACTGCAAGAAAACCCATCACCTTTTGTTTATCTTGAACCAGCTTTTGTTGGTTTCAGACTTGCACTCCCTAGGGCTCATATTAAGAGAGACGCTGAACAATCAAACCACATTGCTTCTATGCTACTCATAGTTTCATATGCTTCCATACGCATGGAAATACTCAGAGGCTACCATGTGCGGTTATAATTTTTTTCTCCATGTACATTACTCTACATTTATCTACACAGAAGTTTCTGTGCTATTTCATCACTCAGCCACCCAATCTTGTAAGGGCTTACGGTAATTCTCCACATTTAGCACCAGCCCTTGCTGATCCAGCAAGAAAACATCACTTTACGGTTCATCCCATTTTCCAACTTGTGTATGTGCAGTACTCCCCTCCCTGGTGAGGACTGACCAGTACCCTATCCCCTGACTCATACTTTTTAACCAATTACTTACCTGTGCAAAAACCTTTTCTTTTAAGTCTCACATCTGCTTTAGTTACTTCAGGAGTTTTCTTTTAGCAAGTTTGACAAAGGCTTTCTGGAAGTCTTAGGGGGGAACACCATATGGTCCTTACTCAAATTATTTTTGATCCCTTGGTTAGAGAGGCATAACCTTCCTTTCAAAAAGGCATGTAATTTTCCCCAACCATGTTTACCCAGGTACCAACTACTGTATTCCTTATTATATTCTCTACTCCTTTGTCCAGTACAGACATCAAGCTTACAGGCCTTACTTCTTCCCGATCTTCCATGACGCCTGCCACCACCCTCAGTTTTTTTAATTGGCATTGTATTTTCTAGCCTCACATGAACAGGTACTAATGTATATATTCCATATAGGATCTACTATAGGATTTTTTCAAACTCTTTTTCCAAGGCTGACAAGTTACACCCTCCTAAAAGTCAGTAAGAAGCCAATTGCACAACACACAAGAAAAGCTATTCCAAGATCAGTAATCAAAAGCAGTGTTTTGACAGGATATATCTGCATGCCTGTAATTGCACCGCTGGATCCACAATTTTGATTCAAGTTTAATTAAAAAATTAATTGGCTGGCTTGCTTGAAGGGGAGTGGGGGAGGATTTGTTCTTTAAGATGGAGTTACCTTTCTTGCCTTTACCTCCAGAACCAATGTAGCATGAAACAAACCTCAGCTAAACTTTTTGTCCTATTATTAAAAAAACTGAGGAAAAATTATCTTTACTACACTTCAAGTTAGCCAAAGAGATCTTGCCTAGAAAGCAATGGCAATAAAAATACACTTTTGGCTATTACACTTAGTTTTGACCATTGTTGAATAACACCGTTCTCATTTCACAGCAGATCTGTTAACACTGAGCACCTGGTAAAGGTAACAGGTAATTTACTCATATCTTTCCAAAACAGTTACAAAGGCGTAGATAAGCAATCAGACTTCAAAGCTCATATCATGAACAAGTTATACAGCCCCCAGACTACTTCTGTTACCACGGAAGACAGAAATTCGCAGAAAATTAGCTATAAAATGAGAATTCAACCAAAGGCCACACTAATAATCCCCAAGGAGATTCATTTTTGTAACGGGTGAGTCCATACACACGATACAGCAGTAGTAAGTTCTTGAGTTTGAATGCTAAGTGCTAAATCAATTTCGTTAAACATGAGCTGGAGCCAAACAAGAATTCTGCTTGTTAAGTATGTGAAAACTTCACCTTAGATGAATCATTGCATACTGCAGACCTGTTCTGCCTGAAGTTATTCTACATTCTAATTCCAAAACAAAATGTGAAGCAATCTGTCTGAGATCAAACTACTCCCTAGCATTTTAAATATAGCATTCATAGCAACGATATCCTCACCATCACCTC